GAAGAGTCAACTTGGCTATATTCATAAAAATATCTTTGAGTAGTACTCTCTGGTCTAATACAAACTGGTAATCCCTGCTCTCATAGTCTCATCAAATGATTTTCCATGAACGTCGTTACTGATTTGGCATGGATCCAGCTAACCTTTGCTCAGAAGTTAAAAAAAATAAAAAGAAACAGTTGCATTTGCACCATGAATGAAGATTTTGTTTTTTATTTTCCACGCCCCAAGACAACTATGATGATCCTTTGTTAGTCAGAGCGTTCATTGAATTTATCAAGGGATGCCTTTCTTCGGATAAAGACTAACTTTTAATCCGACTTTTGCATTTATCCTACATTCCTACTAAGACCAATGATGCATTATACAGAAATTCATATGGATTTTGTCTGATGACTTGTGTGAACATTAAGTTTACATCGAAAGGCTTCGTAATCTTGAGTTTGTAACGGAAGTGCTTCCTTTTGGTTGTTCAGCCCCTTGAAGATGCTAAGAAGACTACACTTACTATTTTGGAGGCCTTGAAAGATACAGGACAAAGAGGCATAATTGACCGAGGTTGGGGAGATCTTGGTCTATGTAAGCATCTATTCAACTTTTATATATTATGTCTACCATGACCTTCTGAATGTATCATGATCAGTTACATCGAAATGAGACTTTTGTATTGTATACCCTTTGTATTGTATTGTGTGCCATTATCTTAGGATTTAGCTCTCCGTGTATCTTTTTTTAGCATCCCATGCAACTATAACACTCGGAACAACTTTTCTAATGCAGTTTATAAATTGCAGTTATAGAAGTTCCTGACAATGTTTTCCTTCTTGAGGATTGTCCTCATGACTGGTTGTTTCCTCAATGTGCTGCAGTGGTGAGATTATTTTTCAGTCCTTGGGTTTATTGTTGAACTCCAACTTTCATAAATCATAATTACATCATAATAAACCATCCTGTTATATGGTTACTTTGTCTGAATCTATACCTGTTCTTTTCTCTTCCAAGTAATTGCAAATACAGTGAAATGTTTTATTATAACAGTAAAACATGTTAAATGATTCAATAATCATGGTATAAGATGAATTTGCTAATTTCATTTTCTTTTCCCCATTACTCTTCTGCCTTGCAAATGCACAG